ATGACGCCGTCACCCTGTATCATGAGTGTCCATGGCCGTTTAATTTTGCAAGGCCTGGCTGAGGCATGCCATGCTGCGACTAAGCAGCTTGTTTGGGATGTGCATTTTGCCTTTCCAGCTGGCTTTGTGCAGATCAGTGGCCTCCAGATAAAGCCTCTAGATTTATACCTGTATGGTTTAGGAAACACACCTTTGCTGCTGTCAAAAAACTGTGCAGCTCCTATGTGAACAGCTGTCTGCTGTCTGACTAGCTGCAGGCCATTTCTATCTGCTGTGTGGACCTAAACAAGCCCTGGAGAGCCCCTGTGGAAAGACGAGTAGGGGTGGATCAGGTCACTCCACAAACCTGCCAGCACTCATATCAATCACATTGGCACAGATGAGGGTGTTTTGCTGTTACAGGAATGGAACCTTTTTGCTATTACATGAATGGGAGCAACCTTGTGAGTCAAATGCTACAGCTTTACAAGCTATCTTTGATTTATATGTTCATAGAAGTGTTGATTGGAAGGACCTCAGAATGTCTGTAACCTGGTCTGGGTAAATCTTGAAAAACCTCCGACGACTGCATTTCTACAGCCTTTCCAAGCAACCTATTCTGGTTGTGCACCACTGCCCTAGTAAAAAAACTGGTTCCTAATGTCCATCCTGAACCTGTCAATTCACATCCATTGCCTCTTGTTATAGTATTTGGTCCTACTGAGAAATATTTTGTTTTCATTGCAACCACCCATGAAGTCGTTGTAGGAATTTAGGAATTCCTTGGAATTGTGGCAGTTTCCTTGGAATGAAGATTATCCATTGTGAACAACAGGCTTTTTTCTTTCTTCGCCCTCCCCCCCCGCATCTTAGTATTCCATTTCTTGGTGCGCTAAAATGGATTTACGTCTGGGATTTCATACATATGGGGAAGCTGATTGACCATTATTTAATAGATTCATTTAACACAATTTTGAAACTGGTTAAGGTCAAAGATCTCAGTTTGCTTTTGCGTGGCAGCCTTAGTTGGAGAAGTGAACTGTAGCTCCTCTGGCCACCATTGCTCCTGCCTTTTCATAGCTGAGCACTGAAGCACTGGCGTCTCTGAGGACTAGAGACAGTGAGTGGTCTTTAAATGAGCTTCTGGTGGATATCCTCATGCTGCAGGACATTCTTAACAACACACTTTTTCTGCTTTGTCCCTCCAGGTTGTGGGGCTCCAGGGTTCATTTTGCTGTCTGTTCTGAAATACCTGCCAATATTGCCCATCATGGCTTACGTACATTC